AATGACCATAGGAACAGGCTTTGTGAAGTGGCACCAAGTCCCTTGGCAGTGAGGAGGGAAAACAAACAAACAAATTAAGATTACTACTTATATCTTGCCCCAGCATATGCCAATTTAGTACACTGCTAATTTCACAACTATGCTGCCTCTTAACAATCCCTCAAAGTTAAAGACTCACATGTCTAACAAAGGGGTTGGAAACAAAAAGAGACAGAAGAAAAGAAACAGTTCCAAAAATATTCAAACCAATCTCTTTTTAAAAGGATCAAAGAAAGAAGAATGGAAGTTGTACTGTTTGTATAAGAAACTTGGTTCGTTATCAATTTAAAAGGATAATTAAACTGAAAACAACGTATCAACACAAGTTATTTCAAAAGATAATAAGTTTGCAAAACTTACATACAGTAAAAGCTGCCTTAACCAGCACCTTACAAGCTGGCATGCTTTATTAATCGGCATGCCGGCTTGTAAGGTAAAAGCGAAACCTGAAGTGCCCACTGTGGCACTTCTGGTTTCACCGACCCCCCACGGGCTGGGGCAAAACAGCCTGCGCTGCTGAGTCTCCATGGCCCGAGGCACAGCAGCCAGTGTGGGGCCTACCTCCCTGTCCCTCAGGGCCCGTGGGAGGGGCAGTGATACGGTGGAAGGGGTGGCAACGCTCTGGACTCAGCAGGAGAGGCAGTGGCCCGAACAGGCAAAGACACCTGTTCGGGCCTCAGTTAACCAGTATATTTTGTTATCTGGCACCATCTATTCCCCATGGCTGCCAGATAACAAAGCTTTTGCTGTAATTCAGTGGTGCTTAACCCTGGCCCACTATCTGGATCCAGCCTGCACAGCCATGTCATCCAGCCTGTAGGACTCCCTAAAGGTTGAGATACTTGGCAGCAGAGGAACAGTAGCAGCATTAATTGCTCCCAGAACTATGGAAATTAACACTTAGAGGGCAGCCTAGGCGACAGTGACCATGAAATCCTTACGTTCCTGGTTCATCGCAAGTCTGACAAAACAGATACCAAGCTCAAAGTCTTAGACTTCAAAAACACAAATTTTAATAAGCTCAGGTCACTAGTAGAGAATGTCCTGAGAGACCAAGGACCACAGGTAAAGGGAGCATGAGAAACATGGTCATTCCTTAAGGATACAATCCTTAAGGCTCAGAGAAAAGCCATTCCCTTACAAAAAAAAAAGGTAGCAGAAGGGCCAAAATATCCTCTTGGCTCAGCAGGGACGTTGCAGTCCTCCTATAGAAAAAGGAAGAGGCGTACAAACAACGGAAGCTTGCAACAGCCTCTAAGGAAGACTACTTGACAATGGTCCGCACTTGTGGAAACCAGATTAAGCAAGCTAAGGCAGAAAGTGAACTAAAGCTAGCTACAAGAATGAAGGGCAACAAGTCCTTCTTTAGCTATATAGGTAGTAAAAGGAGAACTAATGGGAGTGTGGGGCTGCTATTCAATGCCTCAGGAAAAAAACAGAACTCCTAAATGACTACTTTGCCTCGGTCTTTCACAAGACCAAGGGAAACAACGTGCCAGGTAGGGCACAGAACAAGCAGGGAAGGATTGACATCGTTCCCACCATTGCCATAGAACTGGTGTATGATCAATTAAAGAAATCAGACGTATATAAATCAGGAGCAGATTAACTCCACCCAAGAGTGCTGCAAGAGTTGGATGAAGTAATCGCAGAGCCTCTGGCAAAAGTCTTTCAAAAATCATGGGCTTCCGGAGAAATCCGAGGACTGGAATTGGGCCAATGTTGTGCCCATCTTCAAGAAGGTGAAGTGTGAAGACCTGGGAAACTACAGGCCAATTAAGCTTAACTCTACTCCAGGGAAAATCCTAGAAACATTCATTGAAGAGGCTATATAAGACAAACTTGCAGAAGGCCTGATACTGAATGACAGCCAGCATGGCTTCATCGTGGGCAGGTCTTGTCTGACTAACTTCATTTCTTTCTATGATCAGGTGACTCGTCACCTGGACGATAGAAAAGCGGTTGACATCATGTACCTCGACTTCCAGAAAGCCTTTGACTTGGTATCCCACGAGGTACTGATCAGAAAACTGGAACATATTGGGCTCTACTGAGAGACCGTCAAGTGGGGGTGAAACTGGTTGTGGGGTAGGATGCAGAGAGTCCAAATGAATGGACTGGGGTCGTCCTGGCGAGACGTGGGCAGCGGCGTACCCCAGGGGTCGGTACTTGGCCCAGTGCTGTTCATTATCTTCATCAATGACCTGGATAAGGGGGTGAAAAGCCCACTGGCCAAGTTCACAGACGACAGCAAGATATGGGGTTGTGCGGACACACCTGCAGATAGGCTGCAGATACAAGCAGACCTAGACAGGCTGGCATGTTGGGCACAACGGAACCAGATGAGGTTCAACGCAGAGAAATGCAAAGTGCTGCATCTGGGAAAGAAGAACCCCCAGCACACTTACAGGCTGGGCATCATTAACCTGCTACAAATGAAAGGGATCTGGGGGTAACAACAGACCCCAGCATGAATATGAGCCAGCAATGTGATGTTGTACCCGCTAGGGCCAATAAAACTCTGGCATGCATCAATCGATGCATCTCCAGTAAATCCAAAGTGATTCTCCCACTTTACTCAACATTGGTGCAGCCACAGCTGGAGTATTGCATCCAGCTCTGGGCACCGCACTTCAACAAGGACATGCTAAAGCTCGAAAGGGTCCAGAGAAGGGCCACCCACATGATCAGAGACTTGCATGGCAAACCATATGAGGAAAGGCTGATGGATCTCAGACTCTTCAGCCTAAAGAAAAGAAGGCTGAGAGAGGACCTGATTGCAGCTTACTGCTATATCAGAGGCCTACATCAGGGGCTTGGTGAACAACTGTTCACCAGGGCACCCTGGGGGAAAACTAGAAACAATGGCCACAAACTCCTGGAAGATAGTTTCAGGCTGAACATTTGGAAAAACTTCTTTATAACTAGGGTGTCCAGACTATGGAACAAGCTCCCACCAAGAGGTGTTGCAATCATTTACCCTAGAGTAAGAGAAGACTGGACGGTCACCTGGCTAGGGTCATCTGACCCTAGATGTCTTTCCTACTCATGCAGGGGGCTGAACCTGTTGATCCTTCCGGGTCCCTTCCAGCCCTATGATTCTACTTTCATTGCTTCCCCGCCACAAAATGTCCAGACCCATGGGGAGCCAGAACTGTTTGTTCCAGATGACATGGCCCACACACACCGGATTGGCTGGATCTGGTGTGCAGGGCCAGGCTGGCGCACAGAATTTAGCTTGCAAGGCCAGTGAAGTTGAGTACCACTGAACTAACTGGTTGGTTCTAAAGTCATTGGGCATGACTGTATGCTGTGTATTTAAGAGGCCCAAAGACCTTGCAATCCAGAGAGAATAGAATGGAAGATGGTTGGGAAAAAAGTTTTCTATACTCCCAAGCTGGAGGTGGGGTGCGCACAGACACTGTCAGGAAAACTTAGAGAAATCAGAGAGATGCATTGTCAGGGAGGCCTGACTGAAAAAGGTTTCACCTTGGGCCTTTCATTAGATGGATATTGTAGACACCTTTAAAGCAGCGTTTTGGACAGAGTTAATAAAAATTCAGTTTTCCAAAATCTTGGCTTATTTCAGTATTTCAGTCAGATTTCTTGAAATTATTTTCTGTAGACCATACATGTACTTACATAGTTTCCAGAATTAGAAAAAATCCTTATATAATAAAAGAACTCCTAGAAATATACAATCTAAAATCAAATGAATGGGAAACAAAGTTGTTCTATTATTTTATTACATTTTTTTTAGGGAACAAAAATAATGACAATGAAGGGAAGTGAAGTGAAGACTTGATCAACCTACAGAGGCATGTCTTGAATTTTAACAGCAATGGTATAAAAGCATTTCTAGTTAATCACTTCACATCTTTTGAACATTCAGAAGTTGTCTGTTTATAACTTAGAATGCAGCATAGTTATGGCCAATTTAGTACAAAAGGTTATTCCTAAAATTGGAAGCAAAACTTATGTTACAATATATGTTAAAAATAGCATATCAACCTCAAAATTTCTGATGTGCCATGGTTCAATTTTTTTTAAATAAGCATTCTCTATTGCATAACAAAGTCTGTTATTGATGCATAACAAACAAGTGAATTACAAGCTTACCCTTTATCCTTAGCATGCACATCAGCTCCATGTTGTAGTAACAACTGCACAATCTTAACTCGGTTATATCCAGCTGCTAAGTGCAATGGAGTTGACTGAAAAGACAAATACTTTTAGATAAATCAAAATCATAAATCCAACTAACAGTAAATATAATGAAATATGTAAAAATAATGTCCTTAAAATACTGAATCAGTAAAGAGTATTTGAACCAAGTGTCTGGCAACTATTTCCACTAAACACTGAAACTGCAAGGGTTTTTCAATAATACATTTAAATGATAGCTATCATGAAAGATTTTTGAGCCTTTCAGCCAGCTATGACTACTTCCCAGTTCAGTTCTTTCATAAATGTAAATATTCTACCAGTACAGATTGCCAGATTATGAATAGGTCTCCTCACCTAATGGACAGTTAAATTTTGATGTAATCCATGGGTATTATTAACTAAACTTGAAAAAAAAAAAAGAGAGTAGGTTTAAAGTAAGGAGGGGGTTGGAGGAAAAAAAAACAAAAAAAAAAACACCTTATCCTTCACTTGCACTCCCAAGGCAGATGATTGATTTATGTTCTGTCTAACCAAACCAGATGGGGAAATTTAACAGTGCCCAGTACACAACAACAAGAAGCAACAGACTTTGCACAAAGACCTTATCCTTTTCATTCAGGAAGATCATCAGCACTAGGGAATTTTAGTTTTTGGAGACCACACATGTTTTAGAGTAAGTAAAACAGCAGCACAAATATTTTGGAGGCCCCTTAGCACAGGGCCTACCCAGCCCTGATTTGTGGGAAAGTTAGAAACCAGAAAGAATGAGCCTACTCAAATATCTAACAGGGCCAAAAGATAGAAACTTGAACCTTCAAAAAGAAGTAGGTTCAGGCTAAATGGATTTCTGGATTTCCTGGACAAATTTTGGCATCTGTAGCTTAAATGTGCTTATTTAGCCACCAATATATAAACAGTATCCAGTTCCTATAAATGACAGCATTACCTTAATTTTACGAAGAAGTAATGTCAGAACAACTGATATACCTTAGGGTACATGACTACAGTAGTACAAAAGAACAGCCTATGACTAAATGATCAAGTCATTTGATAAATATTAGCATAAAAAATGTGAGGTCTTTTCCATGACTTTGACATTGGTGCAGCTGGTGAAAAGGTAAGGCAGAAGTTGTTAGAGAAAAGGTATTTCATATGACCCAGGTATGTGAATGGCTGCTTAGAAAAACAAAACAAAAAAAATCTGACAACTCCCAGCAAGTATGTTCCTTATCTTCACAAATATTTAAGTAATCTGAACTGACACCTAATAACCAATAATTCTTAAATTTTGATCAAAAGCTAGTTTTAAATATAAAGTAATAAGCTGAACAAAATTTGAAAATAAGATTTAGTTAAATGCAACATTTTAACTAAAATACCTTTCTGCCATCACTTGCATGGCAGTTGACATTTAATGGTGTAAGAAGAGACATCATCTTTTCTTCATTTCCACTCCTACAAAACAAGGTTTTAAAAACACGTGAGAGTTTTGACTGTCAACAGTTAAGGAAGTCCCATATTTCCTTGAATACAAGATTCCCCACCGCCCCTGACAAGCAGCATGGGAAAAAGAGCCCCTCATCTTATATTTGCATACAAGAACACTTCATTAAATATATTGTCTATAATTAAACTGGTGCCAAAAGCAGCATGTACCCACAGCAATGGAAACCAACTATGAAGCTGATTTAATGCAGCCAACACTAAACATAACTATACAACACATGGCCTACATTGGGCAAACAAACTGATGGGAACCTACCACAAGAACAGATTAGTGAAGGGGTGGGCAATAATTTTAGCTGGAGGGCTACTTAATGAGTTTTGGTGAGGTGTCGAGAACTGCACACAGTCTTTCAGAAGATATCATTTTAATAAATTATAGATAAAAAAATCATATGAAAAAGAAAAAATTAAAATGTTACAGTACGTTATTTCAAAAAATATTTTTTGTCCTGATGCATGTGTTTTTGAGTAGTGTACATAGAGGTGATAGCATAATAGCTCAAAATAAAGTCTTATTTTTGTGTAGTGAGAGAGGGAGCCCACATGTGCGAAAGTGTGTGGGGGGGCTGCCCATGCACTAGCTCCTGGGAGCTGGTAAGCTTTGGGGGGAGTGAAGGAAGGAGGGAGCAAGGGGTGCAAACAGCAGAGCTAATACAGGTGGTGCAGGTGGAGTGTCCTCCCTACCTGGCCCCTTCCCACGGCCCCCCTGGGGCACTCCACATAGGGCCAAGATGCACCCGCTCCCACCCATGCCACGCTCCCACCTGGAGAAGGCTGAGAGGGGATCTGGTAGCTGTCTATAAACTGGCCAAGGGGGACCAATAGGCAATGGGAGAGTCCCTGTTACTCCCAGGACTCGGGAGAACAAGGAATAACGGCCATAAGTTGATGGAGAGTAGATTCAGGCTAGACATCAGGAGGCGCTACTTCACAGTCAGGGCGGCTAGGAGCTGGAACCAACTTCCAAGGGAAGTGGTGCTCGCTCCTACCCTGGGCCTCTTTAAAAGGAGGCTGGATGAACACCTTGCTGGGGTCATTTGACCCCAGTACTCTTTCCTGCCATGGCAGGGGGTTGGACTTGATGATCTGCTCAAGTCCCTTCCGACTCTACCAACTATGAAACTATGCTCCTGCCTGCACCTGCCCAGCTTCCCAGCAGTGCTGTCTTCCACCCACTTGGCCGCTTGCAGGTGGCTGCTCATTGCATTGGGCAGGCAGAGTGGGTGGAAGGTGGCTGGGAACAGAGGGCGGTATGGATTAATGGTTTCCCAGGCTTAATCAGGGTAATTAAGCTGCAGTTTCAGGCCATCCCCAAGCAGGAAGGGTACACAAGCAGCTCCTGCAGGATCCTGTGTTGGCTGTGGCACTGGAATCCGCAGAACCCTGGCCTGGCTCATTGCTAGCGGTGGGTGTGCACACAGTGAGTGGGGTCAGGGCTCCACAGACCCCAGTGTAGCCTCCTAGCTGCCTGCCACAGCTGGCCTGGGACCCTGCTGCAGCCATTTGTGCAGCCTGCCTGCCTCCTGCTGTGGTTTTGGACCATCTGGCAATTTGCAGGGAGCGGTGGGACTGCTGGGGCCACTCAGCCAGAGGCATGTGGGGTGGGGGGCATTGCACTCAGCCTGTGAAAATGGCAGCAGGCCCCAGGATCTGGCCACAAAAATCTGCCAGCCATCTCATAGATTTCGGTAGACCTCTGTACTATGACTGGACCTGGATTGGGCCTGTGCTGTTCTCACCTGGTCCTACATGCCCTGGCTGGGTCCTGTGTCATGTCAGCCTGGCCTTACACACCTAGATCATCCCCATGCTC